ACCTTGCACATTCCCAGCAAGAGTTCAGAGGCCGTCATCAAGCAGTCGTGCCTCCTCATATCGAGGGTGGCTTGCAACGCCATTCTAGTCAAATGCAGCGCATCCCTGACCAGTTGTGCCTCTGTATAATCCCAAGAAGCGGGCAAGACGTCTTTTCGGTTCAGAGCGGCGCACGTGCCAGAGTGTAGCAGATCGTCCAGAGCTTGCAAGGTCCAATCCGATCGTAGAGGTAGACCGCTCTGGCTGCTCTTGTACAGCAGAGCCCCTGTCAAAGGGTCCAGATCTTCCGGGTCCGCTTCTGCTTGCTCTTCCGCACCGGGCTCGACATTCTGCTCATCGCCTCGTGCTTGCAGAGTCGACCACAGCGTCGCTGCGCCTGTCAATGTGCCATTGCCCTGCACAATGGCGGCAGAAGATTTGACGCGCAAAGATTCGTTCATGAAGGGTGCCAGCGACGTCGTGCGAGTCTTCCATTGGATGACGTGCACGAGCTGCTTGGCTAATTCCTCTTGTCCTTTATCCAACGAGTGCACCGGCTCGACAATTTCCGCAAGGTCCACCTTTTCCCCATCCGCGCCGTGCAAGCCCTTGAGGGTGTGTCCTTGGAACTCTGAAGCGACATGTCGAGCGACCCGATATCCAGCGATCCAAGCGTCTTGTTCATCGAACCTTGTCCAGAGCCGATCATCTCGCATGAGATCTCGTGACGCTTTGTGCATGCGCTGCAAGGCCGACACAGCTTCGCACCGCTCAAGCAGAGCAACAACATGTTTGCAAGCCTCTAGCATCTCCACAAACTCCTCTACCATCTGCCTTTTCAGCGTATCGTGGCGAGCAATTCTGCTCGCAGCGGCAAGCATGGCCAACTCTGCGCTCTGGGCCAGACGCGCGATTGCATCCGCGTCATCCTTTAGCCGAGCTACGAGCGTCTTGGCAGCATCTGCAGTGCGCGCATTGTTGCACGCCAAGTCGATCCAAACGTCCAGCAACCCAGCGGCGCATCCCTGCAAGACGAATGCCTTCTCTGCTTCATCCGGCACCGCGAGCTCCGCTGGTACACTGCAGACAATGCTCAAAGCCAGCTCGGCCCATTCTCCAAAGTGCGGCCAGCCAAGAGCGTGTTGAGGTTGGGTACGATGTGGATGCCTAGCGCAGGTGATCCAAGCCTTCATCAGGCGCAACATTTTCCCTACGGCGCGCAATTCTTCCGTGTCCATGCTCGTGCCACTTTCGAGCCTGTACTGCACGTGCGCCGTCAGCTGTTCGAAAACGGCCCACGAGTGCACGACGTGTTCCAAACCTGCTCCAAATTGAGCGTAGATGCTGAAAAGGCCCAGAGTGGACACGAATGCGCGATGAGTTCGCAAGTCTTGCGCGCGTCTTGCAGAAGTCCAACAAGGCAGAGCAACAAGACGCAGTAGATGCGCGCTGGTGGCGTTGGCTAGCGCCGCGGCGGCTTGTCGATCGACTGAGCTGAGCAGTTGCAAGAGCTGCAGCACTTTCAAGGGAGGAGGCGAAGCTTTGAGCGCATGCGACGAATTGATCAGATCCATGATGCCTGCCGATTGAAGAACGGCACGAGCAGCATCCAACGATGCCTCTGCGAGAGCGCACAAGCAGTCCAGCACATCCTCTACGATCTCCATTCCAGCCTCTGCATCCTGTCCATACATTTCCACGAGCAATGTAGGCGCTGCGAGGTTCAAAAGTCCCCGAGTCATATCCCGTTTGATCGTCTCTTCGTACGTCTCGGTTTTCTTGGAGGACGGGGCAGGAACGATGGGGGGCTGAACGCAGAGCATCGCTTCCTCGCCCCTTTTCGTCGTTCTCAAAGCGCACCTCAACGCAAATAGTGCCATTCTCCTCACTCCCATTTGTCTGTCGCGCAACAACCAAGTCGAGATGAGCGCTGTCCTGTTGCGAATGCGATAGTGTTCGAGATGTTTCGCTACTGCTCGATTCGGCGATGCAACCGGGTGCAGCTCCAATATGCGACCCAGTGTGGTCAGGGCTACAAGCCGCTGTGAAGGCACGGTGCTTCGCGCAAGATGAAGCAGCTCTTCGGCAGTGTA